TTTTGATTTGTTTTTGTTATGGGAATGATTAGAATGAATGGAAATGAGTTGTAGGTGATGAAACCAAGCTTAAATCAAAGTTGGAGACCATTAATGAAAGTATCCAAAACTTTCGGCCATGGAGAAAAAAATTAGGAAATTTTGTATAAAAATTTCTTTTGGGTTTAAATTAGATAGAAGAATGATTTCATAAGGTTTGAATTAAGTTTTGAATTAATTTGGATCAATGTTAAGTTTAGAGGATCTTTTTGCAAGTTTTGAGAAATTGGAGGATTGTAAAGTAAATGTTGAAAATTTAAGGTACTATGATGGAAATAATAGTTGGAATGATGAAAAGTTGAGTTTGGTTGATTTGGAAGTTGAGTAATTCCTAGGGATTAAATTGCAAGTTTTTTGAAAGTTAGTGATGAAATTGCGAAAGTGCAAGATTAATGTACTAATTTGGAAATATAATGAAATTTGTTGAGTATGATGGTTGTAGGGATTAAAGTGAATCGTAAGGACCAATTTGTCAAGTTTCGAAATATGGGGGTTTAATTTGAAGAAATGTGTAATTGTGGGTTAAATGTTAAATTTTGAAAAGTTAATTGATTTTAAGGTTGAGAATTATTATTTTCAAGGACTAGGAAGGTTATTTTTGCAAGAGTCTAGTAGAATTGATTTAGTTATAGAAATTAGCATCGAATATTTATTTATTGAATTTTATCATATTTTATACGAATATGTGTTAACAAGTTGGTTACATATTAACATATGTTCGAAATTGTTTATGCCGGATAATTAATTTTTAAGCATATCGTGATTGGAATCGAGAACAAAACGAGCAAAAAGAAAAAGGGAGTTCAAGAGTGAATTTGGTTAAGGTTGATTTCGATTTCGGGGTAGAAATAAGTATCGAATGTTCCTTAATTTTTAGAATTATGACTCGAATTTAATTTTATTATAATAGTACGAGTTCTAATGTATGTGAATCATTTATATGTTGAAAATCGATGATCGAGTAGTTCGTGATTATAAGCAAGATCAAAATGAACCGGATACGAGGGTTATAAAGGTGATCGTAGTATAAGCTGGTGAGGCACCAGGTGAGTGCAATTTACTTATTTTATATTTGATATGAAGACGACTTGCAATGAACCAACCTCGAAGGTTTTCGATTGAAACAATTTGAATCATTTTATGAAATATCTTTATACTGATTTACTAAATGAGTTTTTATATGATTTTGGGTTTGAATAACCCAAATTATTTTATTCGGTATTTTATTTCATAGCATGTGAATATTTTTGGGTATGAACTGCCCATATATGATTTTATATAAATGGTTTTATATTTGATTATATGGATGAATGGTTTTATATGCAAATTAGTAATTGATTTATAACAAAGCCCACTGTACGAAAATGAGGGTTAGTAGTACAATGACATGACATGAGGTGAAGTGAATCTGAATATGTTTTTGATATAGCACCAGTGTGGATCACTCGTGATCTGACTCGATGTACTTTGGTGGTGCACAAGGTGGAGTGATTTGGTGCATCTGATTAGCTTTATATGTGTATTATATAGCACCAATATGGGTCACTCGTGGTCTAACTTGGGTATTTTAGTGGTGCACAGGGTAGAGTGATTCGGTGCAATATGTTCTAACAATAAATTTGAAAAGAAAAGTGTAGTTTGCAATGATATGAATTGAAATAGAAAATTACAGTCTTAATTACATATTTTTATAATAAATTTTTAACATTTGATTTTATACATGTTTTATTTTATTAATGTTTTTATATGATACAAATATTGTCTATTTTATACGTTAAATATTTTTATTTTATTTTATTTGGTTGCCTCACTAAGTGAAAATTTAGCGTGTGAGTGTTTCACATGTAGATGCAAGCTAGAAGGAGAAAATCAATCGATTTTCAAATCATTTTCTAGGAATCAGTTATGTCACCAGAATCAGTAAGGACATCATATCTATTAATTTATTTGGTAATGACATGTATATCAAAGAAGTTTTTAGCTGCTCGAATTCGAGTTTCTTTAAGATATTTTTATTTAAGTTATGAAGGTTTGGTTTTACAAAAGATATTATTAATTATGAATATTGATTTATTAAATCGTAATTATTTATGATAGAAACGATTTTCAAATCAATCAATTTTCTAACAGTTTTAATTTAAAATATATTACAATATAAAACTGTCTAAAATGTTATCTGAATTAATTTAAATTTGATATTTAAATATTAAATTATGATTTTATGCGATTTTAGTTTTAAAATAAAAAAATGTTTCTTATGATGATGTGATATTTTTTATTCGTATACGGATATATGAGTTACGGGTGTTACATGTTGGTGTGTTTAGGACTTGAATGAAATGATAAATGATATGTGTTTAACAAACAACGATGACCAAAGAGAAAGTCGAATGGCGGTGATGTTGCAAGTCAACTATTGCTAATTTTAAAATTGTTGAGCTTTTCAATGAAGACTTTAACGTGTCATGTCATTTTTTCTTGACTACAATCGACGATAGTGATTATAATGAAAGATAATTAAAAGTTTAATGAGAATGTTATAATTTTTAAAAGTTTGATAATCAAAATATAAATTATCTAAAGGTTTAGAGACCATTTATGTAGTTTACCTCAAAATATATTGGTAAAGCAGTAAAGCTTCCAAATTCAAATTACCCAATCGCTAAACGGTTACTTTTACAGTAAATTACACAGTTTTCCCGCCAAGGTATTTGACTCATATTAATTGGAAAAACTGTAATTCAAAAGAGTAAAAATGAGAGGCATGCAACAGCTTCGGCGAGCAATTGATTCATTATACGCCGGCGGTCAATCGGCGGCAGAGGCGTAGACGCCGCTCGTGCTCGAATGCCTTCGAGTCAACGATGTCGGTCAAGCCAAGAGACTGCAATCTCACATGGATCGTCACTATTTTATACCCAGCTATACGTTTCTACATAATCGTCTTCTCCATTTGTACGCTTGATTTGGGAGAATTTCAGATGCTCGAAACCTGTTTGATAAAATGCCTCAGAGAGATGTTGTCTCCTGGAATACGATGCTTTCTGTATATGCAAAATCAGGGTCTGTTGTGAATTTGAGAGCGCTCTTTGATCAAATGCATTCTCGTGATTCTGTTTCTTATAATACAGTGATTGCGGGTTTGGCTGGAAGGGGGTTTTCGAGTCAGGCGCTGAGTTTTTTTGAGGATGCATGGAGAGGGATTTGAGCCGACGGAGCATAGTCATGTGAGTGCATTGAATGCGTGTTCACGGTTATCAGATTTGAGGAAAGGGAAACAGATTCATGGTAGAATTTATGTCGGTTGTTTGGGAAGGAATGTTTTTGTTTCGAATGCTTTGATTGATATGTACGCCAAGTGTGGCGAGATTGATAGAGCACGGTGGTTGTTCGATAGAACGATTAATAAAAATGTAGTTTCGTGGAATTCATTGATTGCTGGTTATTTGAAAAATGGGCAACCTAGGAAGTGTATTGATTTGTTTCAGGAGATGCAGGTAGCTGGTTTTAAACCTGATGATGTCACGGTCTCGAATGCTCTTGGCGGTTATTGTCAAATTGGATTGGTAGAAGAAGCAAGTAAGGTTTTTAGCATGATTAAGATAAAGGATAAAGTATGTTGGACGACAATGATTGTCGGTTATGTATGTAATGGAAAAGAAGAAGATGCTCTGAATTTGTTTAGCAAGATGTTAGCAGAAGGTGTCAATCCAGATGGTTTTACGATCTCTAGTGTGATTAGCTCCTGTGCAAGATTAGCCTATTGGCTATTTGTGTAATGGTCAGGTTGTTCATGGGAAAGCCATTCTTTTGGGAGTTGATAACGATTTGCTCGTGTGTAGTGCTCTTGTTGATATGTATTGCAAATGTGGAATCACCAAGGATGCCTCGGTTGTTTTCGATATGATGCCGTCACGAAATGTAGTTTCTTGGAATGCCATGATAAGGAGTTATGAGCAGAATGGTCAGGATTTAGAAGCACTGGCCATTTACAAAAATGTTGCAAGAACAGTTGAAACCTGATAATATTACATTTGTGGCCGTTCTATCTGCATGTAACCATGCTGGTTTAATTGAAGAAGGATGTAGATATTTCGATTCTATCAGTAAATGGCATGCATTGGTGCCCACTTTGGATCACTATGCATGCATGATCAATCTCTTTGGCCGTTCGGGTTGCATGAGAGAAGCAATGGATCTAATTAACAATATGCCCCATGAGCCAAATTCGTTAATATGGTCAACCCTTCTATCTGTCTGTGCTATGAAGGGTGACATGGAATACGCGGAGATGGCTGCTAAGCGTCTCTTTGTATTGGAGCCCCTTAATGCAGGATCTTATATCATGCTCTCTAACATGTATGCCACTCGTGGAAGATGGGAAGATGTGGCTTCAGTGAGATCTCTCATGAAAAGTAAGAATGTCAAGAAGTTTGCAGCTTACAGTTGATCGAGATCGATAATGAAGTTCACAAGTTTGTAGCAGAAGATGCATCTCATCCCCAAACAGAAATCATATACGAAGGACTGAGAAGACTGATTAAGAAATTGCAGGAAGCTGGCTTTATGCCCGACACGAAGCTAGTTCTTCACAATGTGGTTGAGGAGGAAAAAGTTGCATCCATTTGTTACCATAGTGAAAAACTTGCTCTTGCATTTGGATTGATTAAAAGCCCCATGAAACAACACCGATAGGATTATGAAGAACATTCGTGTTTGTGGCGATTGCCATCAGTTCATGAAGCTTGTGTCTAGAATTATTGGGAGGCCAATCATCTTGAGAGATTCGAACAGATTCCATCATTTCATTGATGGAAGTTGCTCTTCGACCAAATCTGTCCTCCAAAGCCATCGAAACGAGTGTAGCATCGACAAGCATTCCACTTGTTAAGACAGAGGATATCAGTGATGCCCCAGATCTGAAACCCAAGGTCTGAAACATGACAGGAGCATAGAACAGAATCGAGTTCATGCCAGTGATAATGCTCTTCGAGCTTTCCTTGTTCGGCAAGACTGTTAGGGGTCTCTGGTAATGCCAGCCCGCCAACGAACATCAGGGTAGCCGGGACTGTAGTTAAACCGAGAGATAATCTCCAACCCCAAGGATGGATCTTGTCTGTTTTGTAGTTAATCAAGTTTGCTATAAGGATTCCCATGCAGGTTGTGAATTGGAAAAGCTGGTTCACGGCTCCTCAATGCTTGGCCGGAGCCATCTCGGAAAGGTACAATGGAACTGCCTGCAATGCATCATGAAAGAAAGAGTTAGCGACTTGAAAAAGAAAAACCACCATTTTTAGGGTCGAAGAGGTTTGATCTTTACTTGATTTCCAAATCCAATGCTGGCGCCGAGAAGAATCCGGCCAATAGATCAACATTCCTATATTGACTGCAGCTGCATTGATAACTCCTCCTAGGAAGATGCTGACTGCACCGACGAGAATGCTAGTTCGACGTCCTTTCTTCCTCGTTACATAGGAGGCTCCGAACGTCGAGACAAGGCCGGCGAAGTACAGCGAAGACGTGAAGGGCGTGAGGAGCTGGTTGTAGTATTTGCAGTAGTCAGTTTCATGGAGATGTGCTTGCTTCCTTTTATATATCTTTGGGAAAAATTCCTCCAAGAAATCATCCATGGAAGTCACTCCACCGCAACCAAAAGTAAAGGTAGCTATATCATCCTCTTGTAATATACAAAATTTTCTCGGAAAGTTTCTTTCTTTCCAAGATGTTAAAAGGCTTCATTAACATCTTCAGTAAATATGGAAGACAGGTTACAAATCTATGAAGATTTGAACATTCGTAAACAATCAGTAAATGCTCAAAACCCAGAGATACAACAGGCTGAAAAAAAAACAATGAATCAAAAGGAAAACAACAGTGAATCATTTGACAAAAAAGAAGGAAAAAATATGACCAGAAACCAAGATCATATCAAAAAGAGATCCCCAGTAGCAGCAACAAGGCAAGCAAATATAAATAATTGGTAATCTTGTATTCATAAAGATGAGCCTCTTCAAACTCCCTCGTTCGTTACCGAAACCTCCACCCGCCATGGAGGAAAATGCGACGAATAAGAGAAAAGAAACAAAAACTGAACTCTGGATATTGCACAAGTCGAATAGTAAGTCCAAGACAGAAAAAGGAAAAGAAACCCAGAAAAGAGCCAATAATCGTCAATCTAGTAGGTATTATTAGGCCCTCGACGAGTGGATCGAGCTCGAGAGCTCGACTCGATTTGAAAACTTTAATATAAATTCGACTCGACTCGAAAACTATCAAATTCAAATCAAATTTTAAATACATAAAAATCTTTTATTAATATATAATTTTTTTGAATTGCTCAAGTAGCTCATTTCGACTCATTAAAAACTCGAATCAAACTCGTCGAATATTTATCAAATGTTGATCGAGTCCTCGAAACTACCTTCTATCTCTTTTATTTATAGCATACTATTTTATGTCTTATCATAAAGGACAAGCTGCGAAGAAAAAATATATATAAGCCAGGAAGACTATTTAACATACTCATGCAAACTACTAAACAAAACCCTAAACCCCACAAGTTGGATTTTTTTTTTAACATTTAGTGTTTATCTATAGATTTTTACAGCTAATTTTAGTTATCCACAACTATAAATTGCTTAAGCATTGACTTTTTCTTTTGGCTGGAAAACAAGTTTTAGGATTATTTGCAAAATAAACCCTCAAACTATATATTTTGTAGTTTTTGTATTTTTTATTTAGGTACCTAAAACATTTTTGTTAGACAAATTATATACTTAAACTATAATTTTATAATGATTTTAGGGGTTCGAATCCTGACAATTGAAGAAATAAATTATGTTATGAGGATTGTCTTTGCCTCTACAGTACCCGATCCAGATTAGTTGACTCATAGACCAAAAACCGATGGTTATACAATATATATATCTTCAGCCAATCAACCTAAGATGGTAAGATACTACACCATCATCAATATTACTCCTCCCCCACATAACTAAGATTCTTATATTGAAATAAAATTTTCCATCTTTTTATTTTTTTTCATTTAATTTTCATAAAAATCTCGAATTTCTTTTATCATTCACTACTTCGGATCTATAAATTTGATCATTCAATACTTTTGAAATTGAGACTTGTAAACAAAAAAATATTTAAAATTTACCAACTATTTAAAATTTGGGTAAATTACACCAACCATCACTGAATTTTACTCTCTCTTATTTCACATATTGTACTTTAAATTCGTTCAATTTCCTCACCGAATTCAACACAATTAACATTTTTGGTCATTTAGTCGTTAAATATTTAACGGTGTTAAAACAACGCCGTTTTAGAAAAATAAAATTTTCACCAAAACGACATTGTTTTGTACCTATATAATAGCTCATTTATAACGTTGTTTAGTAAAAAATGGTTGAATGATCAAAAATACTAATTGTGTTAAACTCGGTGAGAAAATTAAACGAAATTAAGGTGCAATAAGTGAAATAGGAGAGAGTACAAAATATTTAGTGATTGATTGATATAATTTACCCTTAAAATTTAATTTAGTTTTAAATATAATCAAAATCAATATAATTATTAAATATACTTTAAGAAAAAGAGAAACATGAAAATTTAACAAATGTTTATCAAATTAAAGTTAACAGTCAAAGTGGCATGATTTAATATAATAAAAAATTATCAACAATTAGTTGGTCTAATAAGATGTGACACTATAACCTTAAGTAAGGTCATGAATTCGAATTTTAACGATTGTAAATGGAGTAAATTGAATTAAGATGGTCGCCTTTACCTCTACAGTATCTGGTCCGAATTAGATGATCAATATCATATACGAGTGGTTATAAAAAATATAATAAATTGATATTCAAACCACAAATTACATCTTTTTCAAGGTGACGTGAATAAAGTATACTTTCACTAACAGTTATATATTAGTTATATATTAAAAATTTGGTAAATTAAATTAATTTATAGTTATTTTTTTAAAAAAATAGTTAATTCTCATCTAAAATTATTTCAATAATTAAATAATTAGTTTAATTAAAATTCAGGGTAAACTATAAATTTCATTACTAAACTTTACTTTTTCCCGTATTTCACTCACTTAACTTTAAAAGTTTTTAATTTCCTCACTAAACTTAAAACATTGAGCGTTTTTTATTATTCCGCCGTCAAATAGTTAAAGACATTAAAACAACGTCGTTTAAAAAAACAATTTTTTACCAAAAAGGCATCATTTTGCATCTATATAAAAATCTATTTCTAATGTCGTTATTCATAAAATGGTTGAGTGACCAAAAAACTCAATGTATTAAGTTCAGTGAGGAACTGAAAAGATTTAAAGTATAATGAGTGAAATAAGAGAGAGAATAAAATTCAATTATCAAATTTGTAATTTATCCTAAAATTAAATATAACAACATATGTAAATGTAATTTAGGGTGAACAGTTATTCATCCAAAAATCTAATATTTTTATATTGATTATATATTTTATTAATACTGTTTATCCTGAAATTTTATATATTTTTTAGTTATGCTTATATGCATGATTATCAAATTTTTTCTTGAATTTATTATTAACTGAAAAATAAAGCTAATCATTTATATAATAAGAAAGGTTCATAATATAAAAAATAGCTTGAACTGATTGTCTTATGTAAAAAAAATAGTTTTCTTTTATTGGTATTCCTCTTATCTTTTTTTTTTATTTATCGGCAGTGACATTAATTTTATTATGATTGTTGACCGTCGATATTTTTTATTATTTTTTTCTTTTATTTATATTGTATCTCTATTTTTTTTCAATAAGTCTTCGATACATTTTTATCTACTGTTATGACATATTTTCTTATATTTTTTGGCATGTTTTTAAGTTATTTGACCCTTTTTTCATTTATATTTTTCTAAAGGTTGATTTGACATCGTCACGACTGATTAGAATGATACTTAACAGATATCTTATTGAACTTCCTTGCTTTGGACTCTCGATTAGATGTGGATACCTAATTTACGTTTGTAGATAACTTTTCACGCCGCTCGAGTCTGATTTACCGTTTATCAATGATTTTCAATAACTTAATCACCTTTTGTGATTCGTATGCCGATGCGAACCACAAAAGGATCAATGATTTTTAATTTTTCCTTGTACAAACTCTTATGTTATATTAAGTTGTTAATTTTGTTTTAATGATTATATGAAATTTTCATAATTATATATTTAATTTACTATTGTGATTGTAAATCTTTATTGTAATTTGAGATATTTATTATTTTGAATAAAATTAGTTGATTTTATATATAAAAAATTCATAATATATTTTTTTTCAATAACTTTGATGCAATTTACAAAGTTTTAACATCAATGAGCGTAGGGATGGGCATGAGTCGGGTTGGATTGGATTTTCAGTCCGTCCAATCTCGTCCGAAAATTTTAAATCTTCTACCCGCCTTGAATCTGACCCAAAAATATATCCCTTCCACCCAACCCGGTTTTTTAAGATAAAATTTGAACCCAATCCGGAATAATATATTTTTAAAAATATTATTTTTATTCAATAAAAATAGGGATTTAATTGAAAAAAATAATATATAGAGGGGTATTATTGTAATTATCCCTAAATATATATGATAAAATTATAATTTTTTTCGGGTCAGATCGGGTCAAATATTTTTTTTATCTTAAACTCAAACTAGACCCGACCCGGATATAAATTTAAAAAACCCGACCTAAACTGTCGAAACTCGTCAAGTTCGGATACCATGTACAACCCTAAATGAGCGTGGTTATTTATAGCATGATTTGGTTTTTATGACAGCATAAACAGACGTATCTTCAAGACAACAAAGCTCACCGAGAAAGATTCCAAATTTTGTATTCAATGAAGAAAGTCTCCCCACTATGTCATCACTTCTGAAAGTCTTCCATTTTTATATACCTTAATTTCAATATAAAATAATAAAGCAAATAAACCGCCAAACATTGAAGATAACCACCGGAGTCAGGACCATGCTTAACTGCCCACTTGGTCTTCTAAAATATTTGCTCCCAATAATATATCATATCTGTATGTATATGTGTTTGTATATACGTTTTTCCAGCTGAAAATGCCTGCAGGAGAGGAGTAGAATTCTGGGTTTTCGATGATTCGATTAACAGCGACCGGTTTCGTTCTTTTTCTCCTGTTTTTCGTCTCCGTCGACGCGCAATCGGCGTCGAATGGGACCGATGCGATCTCAGGGAATGCTGTGTCGAATTTCCGACCGAGTTTGGCGGTTGTCATAGGTATACTCTGTGTCATGTTTGCGTTGACGTTTTTCCTCCTTGTCTATGCCAAGTTCTGTCACAGTGCAGCGATTGTTCATGCCGATAATCGTCGTCGAACACTTCGTCGAACGCAGTCTCGGTTCTCAGGGATCGACAAGAAAGTCGTGGAATCGCTTCCTTTCTTTCGATTCTCTTCGCTTAGAGGATCGAAAGAAGGACTCGAATGCGCGGTCTGTTTATCGAAATTCGAAGATACGGAGGTTCTGAGATTGTTGCCTCAGTGCAAGCATGGTTTTCACATCGATTGCATTGATCAGTGGCTTGAAAAGCACTCGAGTTGTCCTCTTTGCAGGCAAAAGATCAACGCCGATGATCCGACGATCTTCGCATACTCGAATAGCATGCGGTTCTCAAGGGACCAATCCGAGCTACAAGAGGACCCGAATATCGAGCTCTATGTCCACAGAGAGCAGGAGAATCACGGCTCATCAAGGTTCAGCATTGGAAACAGTTTCCGGAAAATCAAACAAGATGATATCGAAAGCGAAGTGCTAATCCAAGATGATGATGACGATGATGAAGGGTTCCATAAGTTTAATCATAAGATCGTTATGTCGGATGTTTTCTTGAAGAACCGATGGAGCAGTGTGAGTTCGTCCGACCTGATGTTCTTGAACTCGGAGATGCTCAACGAGTTATCGAGCAACCGGTTTTCTTCCCTCGACATGAACAACGAGCAGTTTACCGAAACGACAATCGAAAACGACCGAATCGTGAAGATCAAAAAGGAATTTGAGATGAAGAGATTGCTAAACAACCCGGTTTCAGCTCCCGGTATGCCTTTGACATCAGATTCAACAGCCACTTCATCTAGGATTGTTAATCAAACCGAGAAAAGATCAATGTCAGAAATCGTAGCTCTATCGAGGTTTCGAGATGCCGGTACGAGGAACAGAACAGGCGAGTGTTCAATGCCTGAAACTTACACAAAAGAGGAAAGAACAAGGCGGCTTTGGTTGCCAATTGCCCGAAGAACAGTCCAATGGTTTGCCAACAGAGAAAGGTCTCAGGATCCAACACAACATTTACATGTTTGAATGTGCCGATTCGGTGTAGATAGTTTAATTTTGTGCATCATTTCAGTAGGGAAGAGCTACACAATTTTCATTTTTCTTTCTTATTTTGGTTTCTATATAATAATTTTGAGTCGGATTCTTAATTTCTGAAGATAAGAATCCAAGTACTCCACCAACAGATATATGATTATTAGTCGGTTCTTATGTAATTATCAAGACTCAGCCTTACTAATTCAGTCTTTTTACTATGATTTGTGGCTGTTTATTGACTTTTATTTCAACGAGAGAATTTGGTTTAAGTAGTAATCAATTTAATATCCTTTAAATAAGAATTCAGGTTCGAATCTTTGTGTATGTAAAAAAATTTCGTTGAGAGACTCACCCACTAAAATCAACTGTGCGATTCGAATTAGTCAAGACGAAACTTGAATTTAGAGGGTAACAAAAAAAATTGACTTTTTATTTTAATTAATTAAAAATCAGTTTTGTGCAGTATATATAATTGAACTTGAGCAGGAGGAGCCTGCTTGCCAACCTGGTTTTCTGAATAAACATGTTAGTTTATTTAAAAGGTTGAACCAAAGAATCTTATTTAAAAAAGCACTTATGATCCGCCAATGAAACGATGCCGTATTGTTGGTGATACCCAAATATATAATACAACTATTTGTTTTCAAAAAATATCTAAACGGAACAATACAGTTCGGTACTTAACACTACAACATCAAAAGCATTTTATTTGAAAAACAATTTGTACGTAAATACTCTCAATCATTTGACAATAAATACTTACATACCTTGCAGTCGTTAGGGTTCAAACTCGATACTTCTAAGAATAACAACCATTCTTTTAACTATCGAGATTACTCAATTCATGCGTTCTAGGTAATTTTAGAAAAGATAGGAACACATCAATTGAATAAAAAAGACAAAATCAATGACATAAGAGACGATTAACAAAAGATTTGACTCACATCTAAATATATCCCAAACATACAAGCTATATCAACTTGGATACAAATGGCGACATATATATATTCTTTAACTTATATGACAAGAATGTAATTGCAATTGCTACGAGTTAAATCAGATGTTACTTACCAACCCATCTTTTGAAAAAATATTGTTTTCCCGAGTCACTGGCGTAAGATCCGGTGTTTGCTTAATCCGTTGTAAACAAAATACTACTACCTTTTTACGTTTATTTATTAGATTCACAATTAATTATATTTATTTTATTTTATTAAATGTATATAAATTCAATTAAAAAAAATATTGTAAATGAAATGAAACGAACCGAGTTAAAAGTATCGTTATGGCAAATGTTATTGTTTCTTAATCGAAATACCAGCAGAAGTACCTGGAAAAAATGCAGTCCAGTCTACTGCAGCTGCTTGATAAGGATCTTTTAATGCAGCTAATAAACCTGCAACACCACGGAAAACCTGAAAGGAGGTCCAAGGCAGTGGTCTAAATCGGTATGCCATAGCCGCAACAAGTTCCTATATCAGTGCTTCAGGTATAAAATCTCAACAAACTCATACAATCAATGAACATGGAAGATTAAATTCGACGATAAAACTAATGGATGGCAGCATATATCCCTGTCCAGAGATTATTTTTTTCTAGTCCCTGCAAAAGAAAACCGCATTACCTTCACTGTTGCATCGGAGGAGCTCGTTCATTGGTGTAGGTAAATAACTCCTCTAGAACGCTGCTTGAATTTCTGGAAGCAGGTTTACTACACCAGCCAGGCAATGAATCCGTCTTCAACATCCTTGTTCCCATACAAAGCGTGTTCTTAGCTATGCATGGACTCTTCATTTTCCCTGCTAGATGTATGTGCCCGACCTATATATATATATCCTTCATAGGTAATGAAAATACCTTTGCAACATGAATTACAGAGGTCAATCATAGACCGGAGTTCTCAAACAACACATAACATTCCATACATCTACGGATATGATGACCCAAATGGTAAATGCCAATTAATTATCTACTGCCAATGGCAAAGTAATGTAGACATCTTGAATTACAAGGAACCTCATTAACATGTTTTGCCTATTTACAAAAGCGGGAAATTCGTATGGATGTTTTAAAATCAAGATCCTAATAACCGAGCAATCAACGGAATTAGTTAGCTGGCTAATTTTGGAAACAGAGGACGGTGGCGTAACTGAGATATTGTTCCACTGCGACTCTGGATTCATGGCATCGAGAAAAAGAATCATGAGGTCTGCAACTTTACACTTGCTGTCCAGTTTCCGACAATCTGGTTGTCAATCTCACCGCATGGTATAGTAATCGGATACCAAACTGTTAACAAAAAGCAGAATTATGGCAAGCCATATATATAATTCTTTTTTACCATTCATCAAGCCACTCAGGAACGTTGAGGTCTCCTATATCTTGAGGCGGGGAAGCAACACCAACAGGGCAATCCTCGGAACGTATTTCCAACTGTTGAGCTACACGAGAAGCTAACTCGTGGGGAACAAGAAAAGTTCGATCTCTGATCCCTTTCCAATCAACACTATCAAACCACGGATGGCTTCTAACGGAAGAGGAACCATGGCTTCCCAGTCTTGTACTTTCATCAACTTCAAGTAACTGAAAGTTTATTGTAATACAAACATGTGAGGGGTTCTATGCATCGAGGTATTTATGCAGAAGAAATGGTAATAAAAAGACCTTAGTGATTATGTCAACAGCTTCGGGGCTTAAATTATCTGAAAGAATAAACTGTCCTTTAGCAATCTTTGCAAATGTATCAAGCTCGCTTTGTCTCCATGATCCAAACGGCATTTCACCTTGCAGCAAGAAATAGATCAGCACTCCAAGGGCCCACCTGCAATGTTAAACATTTCAAAAGACTAGTTTCATAGAAGAGGGGGAGACAGGAAGAAGAGAACACCCGATCAAACTGTGCATATATTTAACCTCGTTGGCAAGAAATTGTAAATTAAGGCACCACCATGCCACCCCTCAAAGGTCTACCATGTTGGAAAGTTCTCTTTAAACCCACATAAAGAATTCAAGAACTAAACAAACACACTAGGTTGAATTAAATCTCTCCATAGTGGCGGTTACCAATCTCTATTGTGAACACTCTTGGTTCTTTAACAAGTTAGCAATGTAGTATTTTGAGTTATTTAATTATGCTCCTTTAGATGCTAAATAAAACATGAATAGGTTTATGATACCAGAAAATGGAAAACGGTATGTATTTTTACCAGTCAGCAGGAAGACCATGACCCTTTCCCTGAACTACCTCTGGTGCTAAAGAGTCGGCCATTCCGCAAATTGTAAATGTTCTCTCATTAGATAACTTCTTCCCAAATCTGAAGTCAACTAGCTATAACACAGCACGGCAAACCAAAATAATCAAGCTTAGCTAATTATGATTTGGAACCATTATGAGTAAAGAAAGGGGCAACCTTTTGGTAATGTATAACATTAGACCAGTTAAAATATGAATGTAAACACGATGTATAATACAACATAGACTGGCACCTACCTGTAAATAACCTGTTTTGTCCAACATTAAAACATCAGGAGACACACCTCTATAAAGGACGCCATTCTGAAATTCAAAATGAAATGTGGATGTAGAAAGACAACTGTAAGCAATAAACAGATGCACAAAGAATGCGGAAACGAAGTGAAAAAAAAGGACTGCTTATAGAAATCTGACCTCATGTAGATCTTCTAAGGCAGTAACAACAGAGGCAGCACAGAACCTTGCTGATATTTCATCTAGAGGGGTGTGAAGTATTGAGGCCAAAGGGCAGGAAAGACATGTATTCAATAGAATTGCTGCATGGATTTGATCAGCACAAGTGCATAGCACCTCTGGCACACAAGCTGCAGAACTCATACTCTTCATCAGCTCCTTCTCCTTCATAACTTGTGCTCCTTTTCCTAGTTTTTTAACCTTCTGCTTTGAAAACCTTTTCAAACTAAGCAAGTTTTCTGCAAAAACTCGTTACAAAGGATTATTTCATCAATTTTAAATTACCATTCCTGAGCAAAAAAGAAACACATAGATACGTAAGAACCATCCAACCTGTGTCTCTTAGAAGTACAAGCCCAAGTTCACTACAGTCAGTGGAATATAAACATGTTCTCCACTCCTGCATACGAAATTAGATAAGTTTAAGAGATTTCTCTCTTTATGATAACATTTTGCTAACCACACACACACGGTAGAGGCAGAACTAAGAACTTCTTACCAATTGAGAGATACTAACTTTAGCAAGAGTCGAAATATCAATTTCTTTGACAGAAGCCTTGGGCACATCTGGAGAATAGTCTGGAGACCTAAATGGAAACAAAACAAAAATGTCATTCTAAATGAAAGTTACCAAGGTTGATGGTGAATATAAAATGAAACACATACTAACTAGAAAATAAGAGGAAAACATAGATGCAACATTTAGTGCATGAGACTAAAACATACATAAGATCATCCTGGGAATGCTTTCTCAAAGGACCAACAACTGAATCAAATTTCTCCTTTGTCAAAAGAGCACACGTGACATCACCCACTGCAATGGCACTTAAGGAACCAATCTGTTGCCCAAGAAGTGTCCATTCCCCAAAATAGCTTCCTTCAGTCTTTTCAACAGACAATTCTTTGCCAGTCTGTTGATCATTGTCCTCTTTTAGGATATCAGACTTGAGACTGCAGACACTTGGACAGCTTAACAAATCATTATCAAAAGTAATCCTCACTTGCCCCTTTTGGATAATGTACAATGCAGAGAGGGCTTCATTCTGCAAACGTGCACAAGAAATATAAGAAACAAGAAAAAAAATATACACTACGAAAAATGAAACAGAAGGAAATAAAATACTAGAAGGAGAAAACATCTACCCTATTAACTATGGCCTGCCCGCTAGAAAAGGAAACTTCAGAAAGAGAATCTGCAACATGACTCAGCTGTAAAATTGTCAATCTAGATAGAAGATCCACGGAGCGAAGCAACTTCAAGGATGACAAATTTGAAAACTCAGACATCAGAATTCCGCGAAAGTCTTCTCGTTTTAGAGCCCAAAGAGTTCCACTTGTCACAGCACGCACAGAGGCTTGGAGGGGCTTATTGTACCTGTATAGCAACAGACAAAATTATCATGGTCAGCAGGTTATACCATTTTTTTTCTCCAGAAAGTGTGGTAAAATTTTCCAAGCCTCAAGAAACCAACAGGTTTCACAAACATCTAAAAAATATAAATATCAACCAAAATTATAAATGATAAGTGCTTCAGCAAATTAGTGCTTTTTTTGCTACTCCACAAAAAATAGTGGTAACATGTTATTCTTTTTGTTTACTAATCTACATCTATTACATGCTTTTTAAACACGTAATGCAGTTTTCAGTAAGCAAAACAATTTGTAAAGTTGAGAAAATAGAATTAGAGAGTTCTTTATTAACTAGAGATGAGACATGAAAAAGAACAAAACATACATTAGTGCCAGCTCACCGAATGATGATAACTTCTCAGCTGTATACTTCTGCAAAACCCTTGGCACATCTCCATTTTTATCTTCCTGTCAGTATAGTTTCTAGTTAAGAACTTACTGAAAATAAACATATATCTATGAACTAAGAAATCGTTAATAATAACAGAAAATAGTGATAACTAGAATTAGAGCATGGCTAGACAGAGCCAAACTGCAGCAAGTAATCAACACATTTGAAATGAAAAGTAAGTTCAAACTCATAAGACAAGTTTGGGCCTCAAGAGCTTTGATAGGTTTAAACATAAATAACTTTTAATAAATATATATATCTACATATATAATGATTAAGACAAACCTGGGTTGCTAAGACCTCAAATTCTCCACTTCCAACAACATAAAAGCAGTCACCTTCACCACCCTGCAAATAATACAAAAATCAGAGTCTTAACTTCAATTGTAACACTGTCAAAACTACCTCTAGAACCATCCTTAAGATATCAGGTCCTTCATGCCTAGTATGTGAAGCCATGGAAAATCATTTAAAGACGTGTTGCTTGTGCAGCTAGACAAAAACATCAGAATTACAGGAGATAGTAGCAGTAAATGAAATTAAGTGCAAAATAACTAACCTGTTGAACAACAATATCCCCAGGTTGGACCTCAACTCTTTGCATGCAATCCAATAAAACATGACACTGTGAATCATTTAATTTTCTGAATAGGAAATGGTCGTGCAATGCCTGCTCTATATGTGCCTGTAACACATAAATACAGAACAGCTTAGGTGAGAAAACACTTTAGTGTATACAAAACAAATAGAATATAATAGACGGCTTACCTCTTCTTCCCAAGTTTTCCTATGAGCAGGAGGTGGCGGAACCCAGACTTGCCCATTCTCCAATGAACTCTCAATAGCACGAAGACGAGCCCGTGATATGTCATGCCTTGCACGGTGGTTGCTTGAACTCCAGCTAAAAGTTGAAGGAGATTCTGATCCTGTTGCCTCTAACACTTGAGGAACAGGAGGCCGTAAAATTGTAGCAGGCTTAGCTGCTTCGCCATTAGCCTGAAGGGAAATGCCCAATGAGAAACAAACAACAACACAAAGACAAGAAATACATTTGACAAAAAAAGAATGCTCACTTACACCAGCTAGCCCATTAATATGCACAACAATTACAGTAATATCATCAGTACGGGTTTCATACTGGAGCCAAAGTCGATAAGATTCAGCCACAATTGCAGCACAAGCATCACGAGGATCCTTGTATTTTGTAACCTGAATAATATTGAGACAATCACTGATAAGGAAAGAACAGAAGAAGGAAAACCTAAATTTTGGCAGCGAAATGCACATCTAAGAATAAGTTCAAATAAAACATTCTAAATAGAAAGATGATGAAAAGCATTAAAAATTATCATTGTATTTATATGAATCTACAAATAGCAAAAGATAATAAAAAAGAAAACCTTTTACAACCAGAAATCAATGGACTGTACTTCAGTAAATTATTTTTCTTGGTTTGTATCATTAATGATTACCAGTAACCAATGCCCCATATATATATAAACTGTAGCTCCTAGATAGTTATCCCATTTCAACCGAATATTAAGCAATCTACGAACAATATGACTAACCCCAATCATGAGCCTTAGTTTATTTACTAATAAAAAACATTTTATATATTTCAAATGATTCCCTCGTTTACTTACCATATCAATCACAGTTTGACTAGAAAGGAACTCGAAAACCCCATCACTAGCAAGTACAAAGAAAGGATGATCTTCAGTAAGCTCCAACACGACAATCTCCGGATTCGCCACGACACCAATTGTCTCAGCAATTGAATCCCCAATACTCCTTGTAAAAGCCGTTCCAGGATACATCCCATTCGGCACCCAAAGCCTGGGAGGATCACCATCATCGCCTTCCTCAGTTCCCCAACACTGCACATCCGGATTCTTCAACCCTTCAATTTGATCTAATGTAAGCACTCGCGCTCCACAAAGCTTCACTCTCTCCAGCTCATCAACTCGAAACGGGGTCTGATCAATAGACAAATCTACGGCTGCAATTTCTTTCCCTCTTTTTTCAGCTATAACCGCTCTCGAATCACCAGAATTCGCCACGTATATCGTCCTGCCACGAACTAAAACCGTTATAGCCGTCGTTCCGCTCATGCTGTCATCCAAACTATCAGCGTGTAGCTGCATATTTGTCGCCAAATAAGCAGCATGGCAAGCTTCGATGGCATCGACGCGGAACTTACTATTCCTCAGTAAATTCTCGCATAATTTTCTTTTCACGAATTGCGAACACTGAGCTCCGAATTCACCGTGGCCGTCAAAAACGCCGAAGAAATTATCGTCGGGATTTGTTCCAAACGGAGTGTGGATACAAAAACTGTCCTGATTAGCTTTATCTAAAGCATCTGGATAATAACCTCTTTGAGATAAGTAAGAATACTTAAGCTCGAAATTGCCGGAGGGGACCGAAACGGTTCGAGAACCGTCCGACGGAAGGAACTGAGCTGAAACCCTAGAGAGTCGAGTAATACCGAGCTCCGGGTCACCGGCTCGGTTCAAGCTTAACCGAGAGTCGATTTGGTCTCTGGTTTCTTCTTCTTCGTTTGAAGATGCGGGCGAGAAAAAGGCAAGCTCCGCCGCTTTTGGCCTTACGCTTTCTGGCTCTTTGACCCTTGCATCTCTCGGCACGCAAATCTCGCCGATACAAGCTCGGGAGTAAACGCAACCCATCACTCTACTGTTTCAAAAGCACACACACACACACACACAAGTTCGAGAAGTAAACAAGTTCCGAAATTGAACAAATGCTTCACTTCATCGCCGTCTCGAAAATCAACACTAGATTTGTTTTCCGTTGAGATTCCAAAAAACTAAACGAATTTTTAAGAATAAAATCTAAAAGATTTCCATTCTGTGATTTGTTTGGATCTCCTCTGATTATGCAGTAAATGCCGCTCTATAACAACTACGAAAAACACATAAGAGATTCGAATCAGAGAAATTGAACGAATATTTCAAACCGTTTTCGAAATTTGATAACTGAAATCAAATTAGCTGATCAAGAAGAGGAGAAAATCCTGATCTACTGTTTTGAAAAGCCGTTACAGAGAGTTACCAATGAAAAAGCAAATCAATGACACTTAAATTGCTATTAAAAAATATATTATAAAAAATATTAAAGATACAAATATATAAAAATATGAACAGAGACGGAGAGAGAAATGCAGGTATACTAGAGTCTCAGTTTCGTACTCAGTGGATGACTCGAAAGGCGCTCTGACTCACTCATAATAGGGAGCGTAAGTTAGCGTAACGAAATTAAAGAGCGCCTCATGCGTAAGGTGCACAAAGTACTATACTACGTGGAGTTTAACAAGTTGGGTGTGCGTAGTGTTCCCCATCACAGGGACGACAAAACGACAGTGTTTGGCTTACGCGCTTGTTCTGTATCAGTTTTTGTTTCTATGCTAATAACAGAGTATTAGACTTTAGGGCTTTCAATTAGAAAATAGTCTTATATCTTCTTTTAAACATAAATAATTAGGAAGCGGGGCGGGCCGGGGCGGGCCGGGTGCAGATACCCTTCACTTATCTTCGTACTCACATAATATTTTAATATTCAATACTACTCATCATTCACGATAGGTAAAATTTTTAAATTCCTACCCCTCCTATGTAGGTATATTATCAAATTTACCCCACACCTACTACTCAATTGATTACCTATCATTCATCTCGTACCCACATGTACCCATCCATACTTACTTGCCAATAACTTTACATATTATAACAGATTATATAAATCACTATCTTCAATTCTAAAAATATTATACTCTAATATTTGATTAAACTATAAATCATGTCATATAAAATCTTAAGATTTATAAAATAGTGTCTAAAATTATACTTAAATTCATAATGATCCCAAATTTATATGATATATAGTTAATGGGCGAGCGGATGTGAGACGGGTGGATGCAGGACGGGTAAAGTCTTAAACTCATCATCTACCCACTACCTACGGTGGATATAACTTTTTACATCCACATCTGCCCACTACATACTAAACTTATACACATATTTATCCTAATTAAAACGGGTACAATGCAAAATCTAAAAAATTATACTCATCTTCATCCCTACCGATTCTCATGAGCAACCATTTTACGTTCGTAATTGTGATTTTAAATATTAGTTTTTTTATAAAAAAAAATTAATATTTTTATAATAAAATGATATTTTAAACGCGTTGAAAAAAATTATATATTAACATAAAAATACAATATTTACACTAAAAAAATAACAAAACGTACACATTATTTGTTTATTTCGTTTTATAACTTTTAAATACAATAGTCAATGGTCAATGCATGGAAAATACCAAGAGACATGCCTTGTAAATTTAAATTTAGTTCTAGAATAGGGTTTAATTTTTTTCCCGAAATTAAATAGGAGACTGAATGAACAACGCTTGCAAGAATTAGATGATCGTAAACTAAAATGTTTTTTGTTTTTACTCTCTTTTTCTGGTTTCCTTTGGAATGTTTCTAATGTCGCTGTCATTCTTTAAATACTTAAAAATAAATAGTCCATTCATTTAGCTTTTAAAATTAAGCTTTGAAAGTTTGCCCCAAAAAAGTTGAAAGAGCTTTAAGGCTACGAGCGGGTATTCGATCGAGTCAAATTGAGTTAAAATTTTTAAATTATTCGAGTTGTATTTTGTAATCCAAATTTAACTTAAAATTTTGGCTTAAGGGTCACCTTTGTCATTGTAATAGATCCAATTTATCATTTTCGTCTTTATCGTATTTTCACACCAATTTAACTCTTAAAGTTGTTTAATTACATCATTCTATATTCTACCCTTAACTTAAAACCCTAAATTATAAACATCGAAATATAATGATGCAATTTAGTAACTTCGAGGGCTAAATTGATTCGAAAATACGACATGGGCAAAAGTGAAATTGAGTCTACAGGGGCAAAAGTTACCCTTTTGCCTAATTTTTGTTTAGTCGAGTCGAGTTATTTGAGTTTTTATGCTAATTTTATTATAATTATTTATAGTATTACGGTAAGGAATAAGGATTGGTTCTAATTTTATTATAATTCATACTCTTTTTTCACGTTATAATGGTATTTATTATATTCACAATACTATATTCTAAAATTATAAAATATATCAAATACAATCTAAAATTATAAAATATATTCACAATACTATATTCTAAAAAATATTTTTGAGAGTAAAATATTGATTAGAGTATAAGGTGGCGTTTGGTTGGATGGAATCCCTTGGAATTGGTGGGAATTGGAATCCAATTACACCACTTTCCCATGTTTGGTTTAAGTTTTTCAAGAGAATTAGAATCCATGATGGAATTCAATTCCCTTGCTGGAGGGAATTGAAATTTGACCATACTACCCTCATCAATCATTTGATAACTTATTCATATATTGAATAAAAATATTTTTTTATTATTTCGGGTCGGGTGAAACTTTATTTTGATCGGGTCGGATCGGGTTTTTTTAAGTGTGATATTCGGGTCGGGTTCGGTTTTAGAGTGAAAAAAACCGGACCGACCCGAAAATATATATAATTCAGGTCGGGTCGGATTAAGTCACTGGTTTTATTAAATAAAAATAATTTTTTTATTATTTCGGGTCGAGTCGGGTTGGATTTCTAATTCTTATATTCGGGTTGAGTCGGATGAAACTTTATTTTGTTCGGGTCGGGTTCGGATTTAGGGTAAAAAAACCGGACCGACCCGAAAATATATATAATTCGGGTCGGGTCGGGTCAGATGAAACTTTATTTTGTTCGGGTCGGGTCAGGTTTTTTAAGTGTTGTATTCGGGTCGAGTCTGGTCGGGTTTTTTTAAGTGTGATATTCGGGTCGGGTTCGGGTTTAGGGTGAAAAAACCCGGACCGACCCAAAAATATATATATAAATTTTACCTTATATATTTAGGAATAATTACAATAATACCCCTCTCTATATATTTTTTTTCAATTAAGTCAATGTTTTTATTGAAAAATAATATTTTTATTATTATTTTGAGTCGTATCGGGTCGAGTTTCTAATTCATATATTGAATAAAAATAGTTTTGGGTATATTTTTTGGTAACTAATTAACATACTCCGGTTGGAATGTATCGAAATATTGCTCTATCTTTTGGTAACTTACTAACATATTTTGATTGCGATGATTTTAACTTATAATGTTTATTAGCATGATTTTTATAATTTATTGAAATGAATAATCAATCAATAAAATAAAATTTTATTATTATTTTATTATTTTTTATAATATATTACTACATGTAAGTTGGAAAATAAACTAAAATAAAGCAAAAAAATAAGAAGGGCTATTCTGTCATTTTACATTACTGAAATCAAATTCATCTGACATGTCTACGAACCAAACAGAATATGGAATTGGATTTCAATTCCATTTCCTGCCAACCAAACAGAATATGGAATTGGATTCCAATTCCTACATATTCCAATTCCTTTACAGATTCCAATTCCCTCATAAACATTCCAGCGAACCAAACGTCACCTAAAGGAGTCAAGAAATTGATGGGTAGAAACAATTTGAAAACAATTGTAGTCAAAAGATCAAATTGAGTAAAATGCAAAGTTAAGGAACTAAATAAAAACGAGAGTATATTTGTAGTAAAAAAAATAAGAATTGAAGTTACATAGGTATTTTATAGTAGTGTATGAGCATGTTGTTCAAATTTGATAAAAAAAAATCTAAAACAAAAGATGAATTGAAGAAATAAGAAAATGAAATTTCAATGACTAAATTAAAAAATAAAAAATTGTTATAAAAAGAGGAATTGAAAGTACAAATGTATTCTACAATAATTTAGTTGCATGTGGTTTAAATTTGATAAAAAAATAAACTTAAAATGAATGAGGAACTGAATGAATAATAAAATCAATGACTAAATCGTAAAATTGTCAAAACTTTTAGTCAAATTTTTAGTTTTCTGAGTAACTCGAAATTTCCAAATTTCATTCAAACTCAAAAACCAAATCGATAATTTAAATTGACTCGAATAACTTAAATAATTCATAATTTAAAAAATTAATTTTTCGAGTGAATTTGAATTTTGTTCACCCCTATTCATATAAATATATTTGCATTATTATTTTAAATAAGTACTATTAACTTTGAATAAAAAACTACTTCCTAGATGATCTTACTGTTCAATCATAAAGTTACTTTAATTTATGTTATTAAATTATTTATTTAAATTTGGTTATTAATATTTAATCTATTAATTAATAAATTTAAATGAAATATTATAAAAATTTATTATGATAGTATTTCTTTTAATTTAATTTATTTTATTTATAATTGATCCATGACCAAGACCAACTAGTTGTTACTAGTTCGGATGTTTATTATTTGATTTTAATCAAATTAATTGATTAAAATAGGATTTAATTGAATAAATTAATTGATTGAGTAATTGAATATTAAATTAATTAGTGATTAGCTTTTAAAAAAATTAATTATCAATTAAAATTGAATTTCTTATATGATTGGATGAAGGTTCAATGTATTGGAAAATTTGTCCAAGCTTCCATTATTGTAACAATCAATATGATTGAATTTTGGATTGAGAACGCCAGCCACGTTGGATAATTATCACAGTTCCCCCCCCCCTTTATTACTTTTTCACAGAGGGACCCACATTTTTAGTTCTTTTCACAGTGGTCCCTTGTTATCTCGTAATCTCAACATCATTCTTCTGTCCCCATGTGTGAGTTTGCGCCTCTAACCGTTTTCTTTTGTTCTTTCTTCTTCTTGATTAACATGTTTGGCCAAATTACTTGCCCGGAGTTTGGTCCATAACCTGCTTGTTTGTGATTTAATTCTATATTTAAAATAAGAATTAATTCACAAATTGACCCTATAAGTTTAGATACTCTCCCATTTTGCACTTTAAGTCTTTTTTGGCCTGTTTTGACCCTCCAAACATACTACTTTTTTTTATTAATCTAACGTAAGTACAAGACAATATTTGTTCAACGATAACTTTTAATCTTTTAACATTAAACGCTTACACCTCTGACATTTATAATGCTCAAACCCAAATCCTCAAGGAATGACATCAGTTCC